AAACCTCTCTGGTCAACCTGTTCCAGTGCATCACTACCCTCATAGTGAAGAGATTGACTTGCTTCAAAACAATTAAACACAGTCAAGGAAAACAGAAGAACACACACACATACATGTTAATTATTCTTTGTGAAGGGAACAACTGATGTTTTGGTAACAAATGTTGCTAATGGGTTATGGGGACATTTGCCACAGCTCACAAATTAGTATTTATAAAAAGCAATCTAAAGCAATTTATCTATGAAAGAATCTGTCCAAACCAATAAAGAGTATAGTCAATGAACATACCTGGAACAATACACATTCATGTGCACATATTAAAAGCGTGCATTTCATATGGAAATTGTATTTTTGCTGCATCTTTTCACTCCTTTAAGGACTCAAAAAAATATTTCTACTCTGCCCTGTAGTATCGAACTTCAACCCTCCACGATTTAATGGGGTATTACACAGTCACCACATTAACCTTTGGACCTCTCCTCAAATGTGGATACACTCCATAGAATATGCACAAAATCTGACTGTTAGCTTAATAGTCTAATACTTCCTATTACTCTACATCAGCCATCATTCGCAGATATTGGCCATGGCACTTCAGCATTCATCCGGAAGGCCAAAACTGAGTAGGTACCAATATTTAGTAAGAAAGCCATTTAAAATTACATGGAAAAGGTTTCCATTTTAATAAATGCAATATGAATTAGTCACATGTAAGAGCCACAGAAACCAGGCCAATTCTTATTTATAAGAAAACTGCATATAGCAAATAAAGGTTCTTCCAAGAGTTTCTTCACAGTAGTTCAGCCTATCACTATATCAAGTTTGCATATTAAATTATTTGTGTTGAGGAGCAGCAGCATGTTGGTCCTACTGCTTTGCACACTGTACAAATATACACAGCACACTCTCCACATCAACTTCAAAGCAGACAGAGGAAGAGATGCAGGAGAAAAAACAATGAAGATAAAAAGGTAAGGATTAAATAGCGTTAGGAACAGAAGGCTACAGAAAAACGGCAAAGATATTTTACTAATAGACAAATCAAAAGAAAGCAGTTCTCCAAACTGACATCAGTTGTCTATTTATGCTGTAGAAATAAATCATATATTCAAACCATAATTCAAATACTGCACTACACATCCCAAAGATTTTCCTGTAAAATACTACTCAAAAATCAATTTATATGCTATTTCAGTTCAACCACTTTACAGAAATTAACTTGATCTTGTAAATATTAATTCAAATTTTAAACATCCATATTATTCCAGAATCTGATATCTACTCCTTCTGAATACATCATATCGTAAAATGTTGAAGTCTAAGAAAAGAATTCTTTTTTAATCTTAAGTTTTGACATCTATCCCTGTTACTACCTAACGTAATGTTTTCTCTTTCACGCCTTGCAGTCTTGTACAAAAATGCTGCAAACTACCAGCAAAAACAGCTGGTAATTTTAACTCCTCTTACACCCTATAAATGCAACTAATATTTCAGTCAATTAAACCTAATCTTCTTAACCTATGAAATGATTAACAGTTATGTAACTAATTATGTCTAATTTTAGTTTCTATGTTTCTATTTTTGGTGAAGATCTGGGAGAATGGCATATAGCTGAGAAACATTTTGTACCTGTTTTTTTTAGGAAGAAAACACTGAAAAAAAGAGTCAACAAATACTCTTCACTAAGCACACTGAAAACAGACCTATTAACAGCTCCAATTTTGATTATAGCAGCAAAGACCTAATTAAACAAAGAAGTCACCAATTTTTGGGGTTTTTTTTTTAGATGGATCACAACAGAAGCTAAATGATACTTTATTTTGCACTGCTAGGCAGAACTGAGAATATTAAGTCTGAGAACTACTTTGTTTGAAAAGTAGAGGAGATGCCGAGTGAACTGCTTGAAAGAACAGAAAGCCACTTTGTTACAAACACAGCCAAAGTGAACAAACAGACTTCTACTGAAGCAATCAAACAAGAAAATGTTTCAATAATGTATATTTTTCAGACACATATTACCCTAATAACTCAGGACAATATATTAAAGTTGCTTTCACCCTTTCAAAACAGCATTTTCACTCAAGCTATTTAACCTAGTAGCCTCTAAGAGAGAAAATCCCAAACACAATCACCTTTTGCTACCATGTACAAGATCATTCAGAGCGGCACGAACCTTACTTCAGACCAAGACTTTTGGGAAAAATGAAAGATCTTTGCTTTAAAATTCAGCTATGCCAAGACCCTCTACTGGTCTTCATTTACTTAATTTTGTCTGGAATACAACATAACTTTTCAACAGGAAAGCAAAGAAAGTAAAACCGAAATCTATTCCATTGTTTTTTCGGTGATTTAGTGTTTACTGATTTCGATTAAACAAATCTATAGCTTAATTGTTATGCATAACAAAAAAGTTCATCCCAAAAACATGGAGAGAATTTACTTGTAGTTGTACTGCACAGGTTCACCTATTTACAAGATGACCAGATTCTCTGAATCAATTGGACCATCAGAGCAGAATCTGGAAAAAAAAAATTTTACCTAAATAGGTCACAGTAATACAGAGAAGAAAGCTATAAAACAACACTGTCAAAATTCTCACCAGTTATGTTAGCTGGGTTTTCTTAGTTCTTATCCATGATTATTTCATTAGTTTTCAGGTTAAAAGAGCTCCAATAATAAAGCTACAGAACACTGACAGTCTTATTGCAACAGCTGTCAAAAATAAAGAACAAGGAGTTGAAGCAGAAATAGTTTCCGGACTAGAAGTACATTAGGTTATTGTGGATTGTCTTTAAAGACAACTGGTAAGAGCTACAGTGAATGTCCAGAGCAAGAGACCTTCTACAGTCCAGTACTATCAAACCCCAGCAGAACAGCAAGGCTCTTCAAAGAACAATGTCAGATTCATTAAACATAACCAATGACTAGGCTCTTAGAGTGTGCAAAGAAGGGGGGGGAAGAGGAAAAAAGGGAAAAAGCTCCGAAGCAATCTACCATTTAAGAAGCAACCAGAGCAAAAGCTGAGGCTTGATTTTTATAGGGAAAACTACTTTATCCTTGGCATGTGCGCTACTTCTTCATTTACTGATTACCAATTATAATCACGGCAACCTATAGTTTACAGGAAGAAATCCATATGACATTTTTGTTCCGAGAAATGTAATCAATTTCATTTCATTTCTTAATGACTCCTTTCACTTGGCTTCCAAGATCTCTCACACGCCTACACTGTCAGGAGACATACAAGAACATCCCAACATATGAGAACTCTTTATATAAAAAGCCCCTTATAAAAGGAAAAAAAAATTATCTCATCCTTGGCACAAGTCCAGCTTCTTTCCTAAGACCTGGTAGCTAATTTCCATTCCTAGGGTGGATTATGAGCTCTTCCAACACCTCCACAATCTCAGTTCTAAGGCTATTGCTTTTCTTGTAAACAACCCTAAAACTGTATTTCCTTTCCCAGGTCCTTAAAATAGAGGGAACCCTTCTTGCCTAAATTTCATGGTTCCAACCCAAGAATTTAAAAAGAAATAACCTTGCTCAGGCTGTCTTTTTTTTTTCCTAGTCATCACTTCTGTGACTTCATTGCTCTGTAGCTGCACGAAGTCAGGGGCTCACAGTGACTTTTTGCCCTATTCACACAATTTTCCAGTTGAGAAGCACTATCACAGGCACTACTCAATCATCATAGCCAGGGATTCAAAAAGGTCAAAAACAGTACATTGCTAATTCATTTTCCTGTCCTTAATAATGCAGCTTTCTGTAAGAAGGAGGCAGGATACGAATAATTTCCAGTTTCAGAAACTGCTAAAATGCTGCCCCCAATCCACCAGGGGGTGGGGGAAGAAGAAATTACAGAAGCAATACGATATGGCCAGTCGGTCAGTAGACCAACAGCCAAGCTCAGAACAGAACTTCTAGCCCTTGAACAGTCCCATGCTTGCATTATTCATTAAGCTGTACCAGTTCCAAATATTGGTATGCAATACAGACTGTTTACACTGGTAATTTCTGATTAATAGCAAAAACCTTCTATACATCTATGTATAGGTATGTATATGTGTACACACATGCACACAGACATATTCATTCTTAATAATAGATTTGCCCTGCTCCTAAGCTACTACCTCAATGAAACATCAGTAAACAAAGAAAGCCTGAAAGCTACTATATAAACCGAGTTGAATACAAATAATCTTCCCTGACAATTAAATTTCCTTTCTGAATCCTTTGCTCACTTGATACAAAGGCAAAAACCAACCAAAAGTCATTTAACACATGGCAGATGAAATCCTAAGCAGCCAATATTACATCAACAGGAAAAGAATCAAGCTGCTGAATAATTATCTCCTCAAAGAATTCTAGAACTATTAATCAAACAAAAGTTGGAGATTTTTTTTTCCCCTGGATAGAAAGTGGATGAACCTTTATCTCCGCTGAAGTGAGATAAATAGGAGACCACAAATATTGCTTATTTCCTTCCTTCAACACTTACCTTGCAGGTTGTACCCTCTACCATGGTAAAACTACCACCTAACTTCGTGCTGTTGCTGTCACAGACACTTTATACACGTTCTGCCTTCCCCTGCCAAATCCTGTAGCAAATCCTTCCACTGATTCTCAGAGATGTTGACTCAGGCTCAAATTATGCCTCCATTAACCACTGTATGCCATCTCACCTCAAAGTCAACAATTCCTGAAAAGTCATTCCTCCTGCCAGCCAAACAGGCTCCAAGTTCATTGTGGTTTGTAAGTACTGCCCCCACCTCCAAGTGTGCTCCATGCCTCTCCCAGTACCGAGCTTTCTTGATCTTTTTTCACATGTTGGCATTAAACTACCTCAACTCCAATTGTACATGATCAGATCTTACGACACCTAGAAAGGGCAGAGTCAAAACAACTAGAGCTCTTTTAAGATCACCACTCTAAAACGTGAAAACCCTGTTAGATTTTAGATGAGTAAGCTCATCTAAAGTAAGATGAGAACAGCTACTTACTGGTTTCGGCATTTTTCTTGTTTTCTTTAGTCTCTTGCCCACTTAAGTCTTCTACAAACTCTTTCTCCCCTTCTGTCAAAACAAAATTAAAAGGGTTAGTTTTAAATTAATCATAACAGAGTTCATGTATATCACAGCAAACAGTACAAATTCCAAAGCAGGTAAACAAGTGCTCTACATGTACAAAATATACTTTTAAGTAGATAACAAATAAAAAGCAACTAAGTTTGCCAGTACCAGAATCTACAGATCTCTAAGTAGTAACCCCCTTCCTAGCTTTTGTAGAGTAATAATACACTAATGTTAGAATAAAGAGACAACAGTTCCGCAAGTACTACAAATTCTTTTCAAAACTTTTGATACCAGACATCTTCTAGCATTTAAACCCTTTAACATTATTCGCGAGAAGTAAAATTTGTACAAGGAACTGCAAAGCTGCAATTTTATCTGTCAACTCTAGTCAAACTTGAAACATCATGAAAACAATGAAAAAACCTAACAAAATTTTAAAGCATCAAAATTGTATTTCATGTCTATAAAAGTATCCATTTCTCTCAGTGAAGGAATGATATGGTCATTTTTCCCAAATGAAGAGAAATGCAAGTGCATCATCACAGTAAAAAAAGGAAGAAAATCTGCTCTGCTTAAAATAATAGAGGTTTGGGTTTTGGGGTTTTTTTTTTAAGCAGAAAGGCTGTAAGTTATGTCTACGTGGTAATGAAAGTATTCACTATTGTGTTCTGTTCCAAAAAAATTTTTATGCCTTGAAAAAAATATGCTTGCAATGTTATTGGTAGATACTATCCTGCCTCCTTTTCAATCCATTCTAACTCAGAAAGAATAAGCAGCGAGTCACCTTCTTGCACACTTCTAAAGTAATCACTGCCATGAATCAGTCCTGCTGCTGGTCTACAAGTACCACCACAGGTGGTGTTGCCTTCAAAAATAATATTAACTGGAATTACAGTTATACTAAGAAAAATGAAAGTGACATACTACTCCAAATTATCCAAGATTCCAGTATTATAACTCTATGACTGCATCAGATAAGTAGATTTTTCAGAAGTGCTTAAAAATATATATAAGGAAAAAAAATATTTATAGAGTAATTCACATATCAAAAGAAAGCTTTAGTATAAATGATTTCTCATTCATAAAGAAAAATGCAAATATAAAGTATTGTTATACATATTTACAAAGAAGTTATTTTTCCTTGCTTCTTGGCAATAAAAAAAATACAGTAAGTATTAGAAAGATTTGCACAGTAACCTAAGGTACACTAGCATTTCGTTGTTTGGTTTTTTTCCTAATCTGTAGAGATCTGTTTGAAAAGAGGGAATGGAAAAAAAAGACATAAAGGATGAAAACAGAATTTAAGAAGCATCAGTGTTGTTGGCTGGTAAAGAAAAATGAGTGTTAAAACTGAAGATTACAGAAAGAGAGATCTAATGGTATAATGCAGATAAAAGAAAAATTTTGTTTAATGAAAATTCAGCCGGAAAAAATAAAACAGTATCTTTAAATTACATTCATTAGGACAATTAATGTAGCACAACTATAAAGGTATACTACATTTGCCTAGCATAAAGACAATTACATTCCAGTAGGCTATTTTTTTTTTAATTACAGAAGATATTGTAAAGTATTGGACAGTATCAGTAAGACTACTATTCTAAGATATCATTCAATTTCTTCTTGAAAAACATGAATACACTTTTCCACACACCCCCCTTGTTTTCTTTTAAACAAACAAAAAAAAAAGCTTTCAGGAAAAAAAAAACAAAACAAAAAAAACCCCAACAAAACAAAAAAAAGGAGGTTTGTTTGGGTCCTTATAGCAGTGGCTTTTGATAAAATTCAATAGCACATTTCCAGTTCACAGAAGAGATTACCCCCTCTTCTCCCCTCCTTTCCCTAATGTACTCCTCAGAAAAAAAAAATCAAGAGAGTAGCAAAAAACCAAAACAAGCTTGGCTCTAATATCTGCTCACAGAAAGCAGGATTCCAAGCTGTAGTAATCCCTATGTTCACCTTTTTGACAGTAGAGGCTCATTGCTTGCAAAACTAAAGGCAGATTGCAGCCCAGGAGTTAAACTCAGTTAATTAACGATGCAAAAGCTAAATTAGATTCTCATCCACCATTTTGTAAGCATGCCAACTCAAGAGTACTAAAAGGAATAGAAAGTAGCACAACTGTTTTCATGTGCCTATAGTTACATTAGCGTTGGAAAGAAGGGCTATGGCAAGACGACTGATAAGTCTGGTCTCCAGGAGGCAAATGAGAGTGTGTGGCACAAGGCCGAGATCTGTGTTATCAGCTGACGATTTTCTGAGGTCTTTCTAAGAGACACCATATCCTCTGACTTTCTAAAATGACCGTCATACCCTCGTATGTTTTATCATTGCAAATTCTTCCATAAGTATGTCCTAACTTTTTGCTTTGGGTTTCACCCAAAGATTTTGTTAAACTACCATCAACCAACACTAAATTAGTCATTTGAAAACGTTTTAAAAACTTAAGGTAATTTTTAAAATCAGAAGCATGACTACAAAGTTTTATAGGATAATTCTATGTCATCAAATCACAATTGGCAGACATCATTTAAATGTTTACAGAATTAACATTTATTGTTCACATGCAATAAAACAAAGCTATCAGCTAAAAGTAAGAAGCATCTTTGTGCAAAACTCAGTAAAAATGAAGTCTCGCTGTCAGTCCCACAGATCTTGTGAGCCTGATAAATTATCACAGTTCACAAGCAGCAGAAAAAAAATCTCTGCAAAACAAATAGTAGCACAGGTATTTTTTGTTGAAGTGTTTGCTGTAATATCTTTTACTAGAGGAAAAAAAAAAATCTATTTCTTTAAAAAAAAGAAATAAATTTAATAAATTTAGAGCCAACTATGCTGAACTTGTTTTTATTTCAGACCATAAAGACCTTGTGCCATATTGTAAGAAAAAAAGAAGTCAAACTCAACTGACAGGGTCTACAACTTAAATTCATAGCCCATTGTTTCATTTTATATATAATGCAAAAACCAGCCCATGTCTATATGCTTTCATATTAAAAATGTTATGCAATTTCAAAACAGTATATTCACACAAAATCATTGCAACTGAGTACTATAGGTATATAAAAATCAAGATGTTCACAGATTTTAACATTGTGCAAAACTTGAAATCAAATAAGCACTGAATAGAAAAACACCCCCCTATCTTTCCAATTATTGGCACCAGCTAACATTAAAAACAAAACAAATATAAGGAAAATACTTGGCCAGAAGAAACAAAAAATCACTGCCAGTCAAAATACTGTGCATCTCCACTATTATTACTGGAGTTGGAATTCACTTCTGCTACTTACACATTTCCAATAGATTTATATTTAGTGGATGCAACTGTATCAGTTTTACTAACTTTTTATCTTTGAAACAATGACTTATATTTACTTTTTCTCTTAACACTCATGTGAAATTGCATTGCAAATAGAGGGGGAGAAAAAAAAAACACCAGCCAACCGGGATTGGGAATGATATCCCTATCACTTCCTGCATTCTGAAACCAGCTTGTGACCTAGCAGACATAGAGGCTCATCACTTTGGCATTTCAATTGCCACAGGTGCCTCTTCCAAATCAGAATTAGCAGGGTTGTGACTTTGCAGAGTTCCTAGTGCTACAACACTCCAGCCCTCGAGACCTTTGCAGCACATGCAGTAATCTGGACTCTGGACCAAACCACCAAAATATCAGCAGACTCCAAGTCACAAAACAAAAAAATCATCCAGAACTTCAGAAATTCTCTTGAAATGAAGAACTGTGATTTCAATTCATTTCACCACAAGGTAGTTAGGATTTTTAAATCAGTATCATCCATGTTTCCAGTTATGCCACAGAAGCCAACAAATAAAGCGATTGTTGAAAGATGACAAAGAAAGCTTTCTTTGGAAAATGATGGTGCATAAAATGCTTGATGCCAAAATCCTGTCAAATAATTTATGCAGCAGCTGTTTTCAAAAGAAACATTCATACACACAACCACGGGTCCGAGGTCAGGTGAGGATGGGATTGGAGGCAGAAGGCTTGAGCAGGACACCTGGCTGGCAGAGAAGCAACCCTCAAACAGCAGGATCCCTACCTGTCAGCTCAGGACCTTCTCTCAGAAGCAGTCTCTTCAGCAGTGGGCCTCCTCAGCTCTAGCAAGGGGTTCATCATCTGTTTTCCCACATACAGATGGCAGGGACCACAGAGCTTTAGCCACAGCAATGCAACTAACTCATTTATTTGCAGGAACTTATTTTAAATTAATACACTTTTTTGTTTCCAAGTCCGACACCATTCCATTTTTTGTGATAGCTGTAAGTTTTAGACCTTTGGGGAGGCAATAGGCAGCTTACAGGCCACAGTACCTGACTAACTGGTCTCAGCTTTCTACAAAAATGCCTCTCTACTCTACAGCAGCCTGTGAATGCCTGCAGGGCAATCATCTTTTACACTAACAGCTCCCTAATGACACACTTGCTGCCGCCCGACGAAGAAGTTCATTCGCCACAGGCTTCTGCATACATCTTTTTCAGACAGAGAGGTCGTCTACACAGTTGTCTGCGATGTAAGCCAGCCAAGGGGGGAACCAAAACAAGCCATCTATCTCACAAAAAAAAGGAAAGAAAAATAAAAGGCTGAATTCTATAACTAACACGTAACAATTGAGATTTGACCAGTGCTAGACATAACATGTGAAGTATTACATACCAAGGTTCTTTTTTATTTGTTAAGCACTGTATCTTTACCTTCTTAAAACCACCATTTCCCTCCATCCTCCCTTGCTTGAAATGCTCGAGATAGGCTTGCTGTCTCTCTGAAAAATAACTGCAGTATAACCAGTACAATTGTTATGCATTAAATGTATTTATAGTTAAATATATTTCAAAGAGTGAAGTGTTCCTTCCAAACTGCAGCTCTGAGAACTTCAGAAATACGAACGAAAACTTGGCAGTTGCCAACACAGTAGTTAAACAAAAAGCAACACAAACCAGTCAAGTAAACTGGTATGCTATAGATGTGCTATACAATTTACATACAGTTTATAGTCATTAAGTTTAGTATCCTTACTTCAAATTTTAGCTTCAAAGTACCCACAACTGCACTATTTGAAATAACCCTAAAATTTCGAAGCATCCTGCAATGAGAGGATGGAAAACCTTCCCGCATACATCTGATATACAAGCAAAAACGGAAATTAAGAAGCGTGACTGATGCAGGTACTCTGTTGTTTCAAGGTGAAATAAACCTTTATCTAAAAACACAGTTAGCAAAGAATTATCGACCCAACCAAAATTCTGGGTATATCCTGTTTCAAAACCAGGTATTATATTTTCTGAATAATGCTGTTAAGTCTCTTAGAACTAGTTCCATAAAATAAAGGAAGCTTATGAACATGAACTGGCCACTTGCATCAGTCTCCATATACGCTAGACGGAGTTCTTAAATCGAAACGTTCTACTGTAAAGATTATTAACTCTCTTTTGGGGCCAATGAAATATTTGTTTTTCCTTATACTACCTGACTTGAAGGTTTCATTTCACAGAGTGATTAATAAACGTCTGAAAGCAGAAAGGAAAAGAAGGTTTTAAATTCAAAGCACAGCTAAGGATTAGCCTACTGGTAAAGTTAGCTCACAGATGCAGCCCTTCAACGATGAAAGGGAAGAGTTTACCTAGGCCCCTTCAGCTCCGGAGTAAACTTGCTGAGCATGCAAAATGCACCAAGTGCTGCTTTAATGGAGCAGTATCTTTCAACAATCAGGACTTTCTTCAGAAGTTTGTATAACGCTTTGTTTACATTTACAGACTTGAAAATCCTCCCTTTCCTCTACTCCCACAGACTCCTAATGCAACGCAAAGCGATAGGACAGCTTTGATGTATTTAACACATCCAATAGAAAGAAGTAATACCTTGAACAAAATCCCTCTTCACCTCTGCCAACAGATGTATCCCTCCTCAAAAAGCTGAGCAAGATTGTTGAAGGCCCCCATATACCCACCCTGTCAGAGGCTAAAGTAACCTTCTTTACCAGGAACTGTCTCCTCATACCATGGCCTCTACACTTCTTACCCCCCTGATTTTGCATCTTGTAGATGGATCCATATTCTCACTCTCTTTACGGCTTTACCTAATTTTCTGTGAACCAACTTTTTTTCTGGCAGCTCTATTATCGTCAAGCCCTGCAACGCTCTCTTCTGCGATGGCAGAAATACCCAGACCAAAACTCTTCCTGTCATCTCTACAAACACTTTTACACCGTTTCTTTCAGTCAGCATGCAAGTAAAACTCTCTGGACAGCTCCTGACATGTCACACCATGTCATTTTCTGCGTGTTTCCTAAAACCTGCGTGTTGGTTGTACTTTTGCTTTCTAGTCTCCCAACCTGATGTGGGAGAGCTGTGTCACTTCGGCACAAAGCTTGGAAACATGCCACTGCCTTGTAATTGCCATTTGCTGGGAGGTTGCTTATCTGGGAACATTGCACTGACTTGCAGTTTATTTTTCTGACAGCCCCCCTTATGCTAAATCAATAGATCAATAGAGGCAAGTCTTTTAATTCAATAAACGGTTACTACTTGTCTCTTATCTTTAACAATCACAAAACTACCTCATCACAGTAGCCATAACGTTACTGTACACCAATTCCACACCCTCCCTCGCAACACACACTGCCCAGCAGCGTTGTGCCAATGCGCCGTGTAAGAGCTGACAGAGACAATGGTATTTCTACTGTCTTCTGAATATGCAAAGCGCTGTGTAGGCAGATGCATCCTCAACACATTTGCGTGACATAAACACGACGACAAGCATCTCTGATGAAAACAAGACAGAGTAAGAAGCAGGGACGCGTCCGAGGCCTGACACAAACCAGTCACGAAGACAGAATTAATTAAAACTCAGAATTGCAACTCCCATAACTCAGTTTAAAAAAAAAAAAAAAAAAGGAATCTTTTTTAAAGCCTGTACCAGAAAGCAGAACATGAAATACTTGTCTAGGGCGTTACATAGACTGGAAAAGACAGCTTAATAGCACCTTACAACTGATGTGATTAGTGGTGTTGGCATGGAGTCCAAAGAGTTGTGGGGTTGTTTTTTTTTTCCTTCGCATTCGAATTAAGAAAATTGACAAAGGAGAAATAAATTCCACAAAGTTGAACCTAAAACCCCTTATCTGCTCTAGACTTTAAGCGGCAAGGTTAATCACAAATGCCCACGACTTGTACAAAACATTAATCCATTCAAAAGAACAATGCACAAAGGCTCATTCAGGGCCGCTGTGCCCATTACGTCGGTCAGTATTTAAGGACTCTAAAAATGTGCATTTGTTGAAAACAATAGACAGCAACAGATGCTTCACAGAACTTGTTTATGAAGTAATTTCTTATTATTCTTC